AGTGCAGTTTTAGATCATTTTAAAGAATTAAGATCTTCAGTACAGTTTTGGGCTCTGTGAGTCATTCCAGAGGTTGTTATCCTAAGACTTTATCAGCCTCCCCCACAAATCTTCCCAGTTAACAGTCACTGGGAGAAACCTTGTGTAGATGCCTCAGCTGGGGTTTTCTGCCGTTATGTATGAGAGAGGTATTGCTATACCCATTTTACAAGTGAAGAAACAGAGCCCCAGATTTCACAGGTAGCAAAACCAAGGTGAAAATTAAGGCCTGTCTAATTTCCAACTTGCAGCCCCTTTCAATATAGAAGCCTTTCTATCTCTGCCTTTTCTGTGGATCATCTTGCATTCCAGCTGCTTGCCTCATGTCGACTTTCCCTTTCTTAATTATGAGTTCTGCAGAATCCCCATATCTACCTGCTTCATGCCTGACCACAGCCTGGAGCCACCAGTGAACTATATGAGCATCCGTTGACTAGGTATTAGCAAGTTTTCAGGAAAAATAACCCAAGAAAAAGTATCAGCCCAACTCCATCTAGAAGGACCTGTGTGTGTTGCTTTCTGCCTGCATGGTGCCCTGATCAATAAAAAATCCCTGTCCCACAAGAGAAGAAAGATATTACTCAACGTTACACAAATGGCCAGAAGAATTTCTGCCATTCCTAGTGGGGTATAGCTCAAATAAAAGACTGACTTCTCAGCTGCAAAGTATTGCATGAGTCTCAGTACCTGGTAAAGTCTCTTAAGTTTGCTGTTGAGCCAAGTTGGTTAGCAAAGTCTAGAACTTGGCATGTCCACTCAGAGAGATGACACACTGAACCCCAAAGGGGAACAGTGCACAGAGATGAGTGGCAGCCACATTCAGGGAACTTGGGCTCAGAAGCAGCAAGTGGCAAGAGGGAAGGTCCCTGAGTGTGGGCTCGAATTTGAGGTACTTAGGCATTTCAGCTGCACACTCGACCCCACCCTGCATTCCCTGACCTCTAGCACCAACATTGCTAACTCCATACCCTCCTCCTACCTGGTGGCTACTTGGTCAGCTCAGGATTCATTCTTCATGTTCGACTTTGCCTTTTGTGTGGGTCTTGCTTGGTGACATTCCCCTCCAACAGCCTTTCCCTCTTTGCTAGTTAACAGTGTCTGTCTAGATCCCCATTTATATCTCCCAAATATCAACTCTGGGTGACGCATTGCACCCAGGCACCAGTATCACCACTCTCGTGGAGCTGTGTATTCTCAAGCCAAGCTGCCAGTTTCCTTAATGACACAAAACATTCTTGGCTCATGGTCTGTGATTCTTGGGTCTCAGTTCTCCCTGTCTGTAAAAGTGTCCCAAATGTTCCTGTTTTATATCTGGGTGACTGAGGGCCCAAACCTCAGGCCAAATGTTGTTCTAGAAGGAGCCAGTTCTAATCACCTACAAAGTAAAACCCAAAATAGAGCATTTGAGAAGGAAACGCAGAGGTCTGGGGACCCAGAGCTCACAGGAAGAGGGCATAATCGAATTTGGACACAAGAGAAAGATATCTTCCTTAAAAGTACGTTTAAAATCCAGCAAAAGTAAGCTTCTGTGTAAGGGGTACCCTTACTTTCTCAAAGCAGACTACTACACATTGTGGGATTGGGACAGCAAGAGACCAAGGATCCTACTCATGAAGCAGTTTACCCCCAGATTAAGCCAGAATTGGATTAAGTGTATAGGCTCATTACCAGTTTACAGAAACATAAAGGAAACAGAGGAACAGATTACATATCAGGACTACAATGCCATCGACAAAATCTCAAATATGAGCAGTTCTCCAGATGAACAACTCAGCATGCTCAACAAAGAAGGGGCGAGAGAAAGGAGACTGTTGGAGCTACAAGGTAAGCCTGGGCAGCCAAGACAAACGACAGACCTTATTCAGATCTGATTCAAACAAACTGATGAGACCCTCAGGGAAACCTGGATAGTACTTAGATATTTAATAATGAAAAAAAGACTCTTATTGACTTTTGTTGGTTTAATCATGGTGTTGTGAATTTGAGGGGGTTTATTTTGAGAGGTTTTGGTAAAAGATCTTTACATTTCAGATGTAAGGATGAAGGGGGCTGGCTATAAATTATCTCACTGAATAGAAGGTAAAGAAGAATGGTGTAGCCCCAGTAACTTGGGTGATGAGCAGGTAAATTTTCAGCATCTCCTTTCTACTTTGGCCCAGGTCCAAAATTTTATGGAACAAAAATTTTCTTTAAGAATGCAGCAACTTGCCAGTAACACTGGTTTCAGTACTGAATCTTTCAGAGTCTAAGAAGAAACATTTGCCTCCCTGAGCCCAGTTTCCTCATCTGGAGCCCGAGTGGTTCAAGTCCTGGCCTGGCCTCTTATTCTCTGTAGACTTCATACAGGTTTTTTGTTTTGTTTTGTTTAACTCTTCTGTGCTTTGGTTTCTTCATGGGTACCACAGGAATAATAATGGTTTTACCTTGCAGGGTTGTGAGGTGGGTGAGTGGCGGGTGGCTAATGGCATTCACTCTGTACAGAAGCATTATGAATGTATTTGATATTAACTCTTAGAGCCACTGCGGTGACTCTTGTTATTATTTTAATGAAGGGGAGAAGGCTCCTTTGGAGACACTGTCCTTCCTCCTCTCCTAGAGTAAGTGAAGCTTCAGAAATGTCTCCCCATTCTCCCCAGAGTGACACCCTGGGAAGCGTCACCTTCCCCTTCCCAGGGTAGCTCTGGACTCCTCTTCCTGTCCTTTCCCTATGGCCTCTGTCTCACTTCCTGGCTCTTTTACCGCAACTGCAGCCTCCTAGAAGGAATGTTGGTAGCAAGCGCCTGCCTTCCCTTGCCATTCCTTAGCTGGCTCTCAGGCCCCGACATCAGCTCCCTCAATGGTGAGAGGACCTTGGTGAGTAGGTCTGAGAGGCCTCTGAAAGTCAGGAAGCCATGGGGCGGAGTGAGGGGAAATCAGAAAGAACTCGGACTTGAGAACACATAATGCTGAACATTTTGGAAATAGATGGGCCTGGTGCCAGTCCTCTCAGGGTGCCTAGATTGTATTCTTCCCACAAAACAGCCATTATGAAGGCTCTGCACTTCCCATGCGACAGGTTCAGAGTCTCAAGTGGTATGACGTCAAGGGACCAGGGAGTGAATAGTTTTCCCAGCCATGTCTTCAGTGTTAAGACCTGAAATTCTAGAATGAGAGGTCTGGGAGGGAAGGCTGGGAGGGAAGGAGGGGGTGCATTCTGGAGAGCCCCAAGGCAGTGTTCACTGTTCTACAAGGGTTTTGGTAGGATGGTCCAGGACATGGCCTGAACAACTGCAGCATAACTAGCTGGGACTTCTCCACCAAACTGCAGCTCCTCCATAGTGTCTTACCCCCTGCTTCCTCACCCCCATGTGTGAACAGCGGGCATGAGTAACTCAGATTAGGAAGCCCCCATGTGACATCCCCCTGAAAGTACAGTATTGCTCTCCTCCTCTGACTCCCTCTATCTTTCTTTTGATATCATGCTTTTCTTTCAAATGGGAGAGGTCATTTCATTCAGTTAAGAAAATGTAGCCTGGTGGTCAGGGCAGCTGGACTCACAGTCGATCTGTGCTAGTGGGTAACTAGTTGGAATCCACATTGCCCTTTTCATAAAATGAAGAGACTGAAGTTGAAGATTGTTAAAAAGTCCTTCTGATTACAATGGACTACTGTGCTGCGTATTATAAAGAAATTATTAAGAAGTACGGGAGTATGTTCGCCACCGAAACTGTGGGAGTCCATGGCTTGATGGGTCCCACACTCTTTCCCTTGGTACATGTCAGCCCTCAAAGAAGACATAGCAGCTCCTCATCTGCATTCAGTCTGTCAAGGTCCTGTCTGTCTGTCTCTCTCCCTCACACACCTGCACACACCACCACACCCTGTGTGACTAGTAAGAATGTAGAACTTTGGGTTTAAGTGTATCTGATTTTCCATGGGAGGTCTGAAGGACAGTTGTTTGCATATTATTTAAATGCATTCAAATGAAAATGCACACTCGTGTGCCTGATCCTATAGAAGAAGTCATTGTCAATAGTCTTTATAACCATTGGTTATAACCCAACACTCTTAGTTCTGAAGCAATAACAATTTTACTAAGTAAACCACCCTTTGGGAGTACAGGAAGGAAATACTAGAACTTCAGTTTATATTTATATTCATATTCATCACTTGTTAAGCTATTATTTGTGCTTTACATTCTTCAAACCATGGATGCCATCTATAAATATGTATAAAATAAAATTCTAGGCTAAAAATGATCTGGCAGATGGGTTGCAAGATCAAAAGACTGAGAACCTTCACTCTGGACCATCTCCCAGAGCTGCATGCAGCTCCAAGGCTCTGATTCAACCACAGCCTGAGGGATCAAAAAGGATCCCAGGGAACTCTCCTCGGGCCACACTGGCCAACACAAGCTAAAGCTCTCCAGGGCACTGGTCACACCCTCCCCAGTTCTGCAGGAGCTCACGGCATATGGTACCTAATTCTTCCCAAAAGTCTCATCCATGAGGTTCCTTGCGGCCATAAGAACATTGGCTCCCTTGCAGAGAACCCACTTCTTTCTAGAACAGGTGATGTTATAGCCCTCAAGGTTCTCCTGCAGGAATACATGTTCCACTCCACCTCAGAAGACAAAGCTCTGGCCCTTTCTAGATCTGTCTGGGATTCACTTACCAAGTTTGACCAGATAGATGCATTTGCTATTTAGCTAAGAAAATATGAGCTAGGTAGGTAAATAGATAGATGACATATAAATGGCTAGAAAGATAGAAAAAAATAAAGAAAAACAAATTCATTTTCCAGAGAACAAGGAAGGAAGCAGCAAGCCCATCTCCTAAGGCAGGAAAAGACCAGATGAGATAAATGTGCAGAAAAGGGGCCACTGTCCCACTGCATGGTAGGTAACACCCACTGGGGTAACGTGCGGATTCAGACAGCACATTACCTGCACAACGGGGAGGAGGAAAGTCGGGGCTACTCACCCACACACTGGTTGCTTTCATCCATCTGGTATCCAAAGCGGCAGACAAGAGGCCTTGAAATTGTGGGGTAGTTTGCAGCTGAGACTGGTGGAGCAGCTGCTGGGTACGGACCTGAGTAGGGGTTTGAATAGGGATTTGAGTAGGGCCCTCGATACACTGGGTTTGTTCGGGGGATGCACAAATAGCCACCGTTTTGGTTGACACACATCATGTCTCCTCGGCAGGCCTCGGGGATGGTCCGGCATTCATCAACATCTGCAGAGGGCACAGAAAGCTGAGCGTCAGTGCCCACGGCCACACTCAGCACACACAGATAAGCAGAGCATGGCACGGAAGGCAACACACTGCACACACCCTCGTCAGCCTTGACGCCAGCCCCTGCTGGCTCCCGGCAGGTGCTCTGTGATATTGACTGAACAGAATAAATGTGACCAATGTCACCATTCAAGCACCACCGTCTCAAGGCTGAATGCATCCACAAAACTCTGTGCTACTATTTGCTTCTGCCTTTTCTTTAGCTGAATTCACATTTGAGAGCCAAGAAAATGTATTTTTAAAGTCTTACAAAACTACAGCAAATGAGGAATACACTAATTAGTACAGACAGAGACAGTGAAAATAAGTATATAGCTATTAAGGTAAAGAGTGGTTAGCTGTGGGTGTAAAAATATGTCCGGTAATCTTATTTGTATATACTACACTCTGAAAACCCAGGGAAGGGCCTAAGAATTATTGGCATTTCTATTCCAGATAAGAGAGCTAGTAACTTGGGAGGAAACCAGAAGCTTTTTTTCTGATACTAGGTATTGAACCTAGGGCCATTGAGCTGTATGCCAGTGAGCCCTTTGAAACACTCAGCCCCTACATTTCCAAGGCTGGGCTCGAACTTGTGATCCTCTTAGCTCATCCTATGTGTCTTAGGAAGGGAGAAGTGGCCGTGCTAGGGGGACACAGAGGAGGCCTGAACTCTGGCTCCAGTGAGCAGCAGACAGACCTGGCTCCGTGTGCTGGTCCTGTGGAAGCTCCACAGCTTACCCCTGCATCTCACCTCAACTGAGAAGCTCACACTGACTCCCACCTCGGGAAAGCGGGATGTTGAGGTGCAGAATACACCAGCCTGTTCTCAAGAAAAAACTGATGAGCCAGAAAATGAGGTTGCAGCCCGTCTCTTTTTTCACCTGGGAACTACCTCCAAGCATAGGCCCAGACTCCCCAGCCAGGGCTCTATCCTGACAAACCGCCTCTCGCCCCTCCGAGTCTTAGCTGACATGAGCTCAGAGAAGACAAATGACTTGGCTTAAATCAAACACCTATAATTAAAAAGCTAAGTAGTTCCCCATTTTGGGTAAGGCAACAACACACAGCCACCTTATTCTTCTCTTGGTCCCTGAGCTCCCTCTAGAACACACTACTCTGTGCTCTCAGGGTCCTTTTGCCCCTGGTCTTTGATTATGTTATTTTTTCCTGCTGGAATGCCACTGTCCGGGCTCCTACTCATGCTTCAGTGCCCAAATCACATGCGACTTCTACCACTCTTTATTGACCCTGGACACAAAGTGTCACTCTGCTGTCTTCTTTTGCTCTTTCCTCCTTCTGGCCATAACTTTATTCCACCCCTGTGCCAGGGCTCTCTGTGTCTAAGTCTTTTCCCACTAGAGGGTGCGCTAAATGAACATTGCCCCATCCACTAAAGGAAAAAGACAAAAAAAAAAAAAAAAAATAAATAAATAAATAAATAAAAAAAATAAAAAGACCCTCAGTTGACAGCAAGCAAGGAAACAAGACCTTGAGCTCCAACTGCAAGGAACTGAATCCTGCCAGTAACCTCATGAGTAAGGAATGGGATCCCCCGCTCAAGCCTCAAGAAGGAAAAGCCATCCCGCTGATGCGTGGCCATTAGCCTGGTCACTGATGTGGGCTCTGACCTATGGAACAATGAATGAGACCATAAATGTGTGTCATTTAAGCTACTGAGCTGCGGTGACTTGTTACAGTGGTGTCAGGAAAATGATGCAGAAGGAAATGGGTCCGTTCTTTGATCTCTCTCAGTGCTTAGCCCAGGGCTCAGCACAAACCAGGTGATCAATGAAAGGCATCATTGGTCTTAATCCCGCCATCTCATGTGGTTCTTCCGTGGGAGGAGAATAAAGAAGTGACAGTGGTGGACAACAGCCAAAGAAGAGATGGCCCTGTGACCCGCTGTCATCCAGCATCCCCCCAGGAAGGGATCTGCGCGGCTCATACCTAAACACTGTCCTGTCTGGCGATCCAGGTCAAAGCCGTTCGTGCACTGTTGCTGCAGGGAAGGAGAGAAAAGAAAGCTCAAGGTCATTGCACTTATTCCCACACTCTAAAGATACCACCGCTGCATTGCAGAAAGTTTGAGAAATGGAGTAAAGAAAAAAGGCATTTATGACGCCAACATTTGTTTGTAACCCTATTTATTCATCTCCTAAGGTTTCTTACAATCACTCTTAGCACTGTTTTTTTAAACTGCCTGCATCCCTGTTTCATAGGCCCCACTTTGAGCAGGTAGTAGCTGGGCCTTATGATGCCCTAAGTGGGAGGAGAGATAATGGTAACATCGGATGTATCCAATGTACCTCAACTCTGTCCCCTCTCTGGGGGTGGGAAGGGCAAGTTTAAGGGCAAAGACTCCTTCTTTAGGTCCTACTTAACCTCTGCTGCTTAGTACCCAATGAAACTGTATTTTGTAACCTATGAAATCCTGTCCGTGATGCTCAGCCTTAGACATGCAATAAAAACTACCTGCAGGTGAGGTCAGCTTTCTAATGAGGGTTGGGCAAATTCACCTACTTCAATCTCAACAGGACAATTACATGAAGATGCATCCAGAAAGAGATAGATCTTCCAGTCCCCTGGGGTTGTGAGTTTTAAATGCAATTTCAACTGCAGCTGAATGCACTTTTAAGAAGATGTTCAGAGGATGGACAGAGCCCCTGGGAAGCCCCTGAAGCCTGACATTTTATAGGAATGAGCTCAGCATCTGTGACTGTAAGACACAGCTCTCATCCCTGTGTCTTCCTCCAGCTTTGGTGGTTGGGATCCCTGAGCTGTGGTTGACTCATGGAGATAATGGATTCATTCTATACTGCTGGAGAAGTTCAAGAGTCCCAGGAGCGGAAGAGGCAGGAGGCTATGGGATGAAGCAGGATGCACCCCTGCTCTGCAACTCAGTGCTAGAGTGAGTTCAGGTCCACTGATCAAATTCCCACTCTAGTTCCTTGCTCATTGCATAAGCTTTCTGTGCCTCAGTTTTCCCACCTGTAAAATGGGAACAACAGTACTTCCTCCTAAGGGATAAAGATCAAATGTGTTAATATACGTGAATATGCTAATATGGTGAACACAGTCCTATGACACTGTCCTTCCTGGACCTAGACATATTCATCTATTCCCCAAAAGGCAGGATTTGATCCAACATCATGTTGAGATAGAAAATTCTTTCTTCCTCTTCCCAAGACTCTGCCCACAGTTCTCAAGGGCTGATCTTTACCCTGAGCCTAAATTCACTCATCCCCTATTTTCAGCTGGGTTCCACCAGGGGTTCTAGCCCAGCAGTGTCCTCCTGCCCCCCCCCCCTGCATGGTGGGATGTCTGGGTAACCTTTGCTTCCTCGCCTCACTTGCTTCCACAGGAGCTGGGGACTTGGGGCCACCCATACCTGTGGAGTCATGTGCAGAGACCCCAGAAACATGATGGCAGGTTTTAATTTTTACAACTGAAGATGAATTGAGTCTCTCTGAGGAACGTAAAGGGGATCTAATGAGCTCCTGGCTGGAAGTCAAGGTACCGTGTCACATTTCCAGTCCTGCCACTAGGAAACAACTTCGCCTGGGCCAGGCTCTACTTCCTCTGCCACAAGCCCTACACAAGGAAGAGCTCCGACTGGGTCATGTAGCTCCCACCTCTACAACCCTGGGATCCTAAAATGCAGGATTAGATCCCCCCATTCTAGCTTTTTAAACATCTTTCTAGATAACTTAAAACAAAATCTTACCTGTGCATTCCCAGGACTTGGGAGACAGAGAGCCAGAAACATAACGAGGAGTAGCCTGTGAAGATGGGAAACTAAATGTAAATCCCAAGGTATATTTGAGTTTGGCAGGAAGCGTGGATCACGTAGGCTGGACTTGAACTTGCTATTCTCCTGTTTCAGCCTCCTAGAATTCCAGGATTACAAGTATGTAGCACCATGCCAGGCCTGTCCTGCATTTTTAATGGTGATTTTACCATGTGTTTGTGGTGGGATAGGGCATAGGGAAAACAAGGACACTTCCAGATATGAACTGTGCCCAACCAAAGACTGCCTCTTCTAGGTGGCACTTTTTAATAAAGAGTTTTGCTGCTTAAAAAAAAAAAAAAGTCCAAACCCAACTCTGTGGGATGCACAAGGCGCAGGCCTGTGGCCTGGGTCTTTGCTCCTTGGGCAACAGACCCACCTGGACTTTAAGCATCTCTGTTTTGAAACAGTTACAGGGCAAACAAGCCACCATGCTGCCAGTCGTGGAAAGGGGAAAATGTGAATGTGAGGCAGTTTAGTTTTACTGAAGCACAGAACCCCAAGAAGCCACTTATCCTGAGTTTGAGTCGCAGTACACAAGGGTGAGAATTCCCAGTCAGCAGATGGCCACCTCCCCTCTCCCCCGCCTCAGTGCCAGCCCTACACTGTGGCCTCCGATCCTGGTGGAAGAGGGGCCTGGGGAACCTGCACAGCCCAGAGGGAGGAGGAGCCAGCACTGGGTCAGGCCAGCGCTGCCACCCAAAGCCACTAAGCCTGTGTGTGCCTACCGATGATGATTCAGCCCTTCCCCGCCCCCAAGATTTTATTGATAATACTGTGGTCACTGAGATCCTTTCAAAACACAAAGGCTACCCCATCTTACCCCCATTGAAGTGACTATTTAAAAATACACAGAAAATAACAAATGATGGGTAAGATGTGCCACTGAAACTGGAACCTATGTAATCCACGGTAGGAACCAGTGTGATAGTCCCTCCAAAATTAATCACAAAATTACCATGTGATCTGGCGAGTCTACTTCTGGGGATATAACTGGAAGAACCGAGAATGTGAGGTGGAAGGGTATTTGTGCATCTGTGACCACAACACCATTATTCACAATAGCCAAAAGATCAACCCAGTAGGAATGTCTGAAGATGGGCAAATGATTAAACAAACCATATTAATATATATGTATTATTCAGATTTTAATAGGAAGGAAATTCTGAAACATGATACAACATAAGTAAACCTTTGGGACATTAAGCTAAGTGAAATGAGCTATTCAGAAAAACAACCAAACATTGTAGAATTCCACTCATGCTTCCTACATGGGGTTTTCAAAAACACTAGAAACAGAAAGCAGGATGGTAGTTGCAATTATTTAATGAGCATTGAGTCTCAGTTTTGCAAAATGAAAAGTTTTGCAGACTGGTTGTTCGGCAAAGGGGATGCATATGACAGTACTTAACTGCATACTTAAAAATGTTAAGATGTAAAAAAATACAAAATCTATGCAAATGCAGAGCTTTATCAAGTGCTATTATTATTCAGTTTAATATCAACTGATCTGAACAACTCCTTGCTGGTGGCAAGGCAGGAGGAAGAAGAGCTACAAGCCTATGACCAAATCAGCTTGAGCTGATCGGGGAGTGGCAGGGATCGACGTCTATTTTGGTAAGAGCACTGTTAGAAATAGCCCTGGGTGCCATGACAGCTAGGCTGGGGGTAGGAACAGGGTAATCAGGGACGACTTTCTGGAGGAAGTGATCTTAGAGACCTCTTCGCTAGGCAGTGGACATGGGGACCAGGCGGGCCTCAGTAGGCTGTTACTGCCACCGTGCACCACATTTCCTCCATAATTAAAGGGACGCAGCAGATTACATAGCTCACTCTCACCCGTGACACCTGGCTCCTGTGAAGCAGCCATGCTGGATACTTGAAGTGTCCAGAGTTTATGTGACGTCCACAGAGAACAGAGGTGGACGCAAGTCCACTTGCTTCATCTGGATTCCAGTCTAAAGAATCAAGACCTCAAGCATCCCCAGGTTTGCATTTTATCTGAGTGCCTGTGTGAGCCAGGTTCTATAACCCTGGAAACAGCTCTGACCTTATAAAGTGCAGAGCTAAATTCGAGGACTTTCTGATTTTTGCAATGGCCAGAATTATATCTGGAAAGAATGAAAGAACAATAACAAATTTATTTTCCAGTCTGTATATTATGAATTTCAATGTTTTCCTGTTTCTTCACATGAAGTTTCCTTTTGGATGGTTATAAAATCCTGTCTCGTTTATGTTGGAGACAGAACAGGCTGAGTGCATGCAGTGGACTTCAAGAGCTGGTGGAAAGGGCGTGCTAACCCTGGCGCTGCCCCTGCTCCATCTCCCTCTCTCCTGTTCCCCTTTGGCCACAGGCAGCCGCAAGTCCAGCCTCTTGGAAGCAACACAGCTAGGTCCTGGGTCCAAATGAGCTCCAGGCTACTGGGGAGGGTTTCCAGAATGAAATAATACTCCAGTACTGCAGTCCCACAGCATCACGAATAGCTAGCTGCACCTTGTCAGGAAAACCCTAGAAAACGTCAAAAGTACTATAAACTATAGTTAGTACCGGGGAAGGAGGAGCGTCCATGCTCCAAACTGGCCCCTGGAACTGCTGCATTAGGTGGATTCACCCACTTTATGCACCATCCTAAAATATGAAGGAAGCTGGGGAGATCAAGCAAATATCTGGACTGTCATTGATGCATGAGTCCCCAGCTTAGGAAAACATTACAGCTTAGTTTTCAGCACACACACACACACACACACACACACACACACACACACGCATGCACCTACGCACGGTTGATTTTTGTAAAGCAGCTGTGCGTTCCAAACTTCTGCAAGATAAAGGCTTCGCAGATGTCATGTAGATTAAGCTCTGCAAGGCTTCAGGATTACTACAGTAGAATTGCAATTTCCGCAAAGAGCAAAACGTTTGCTTACATGTATCTCTGTCTGAGGTCCCCGCTTTTCATTGGCTCGAAACTTCTGGGTCCCATGCCCTCTGTGAATCCCACACAGACATAGAGCAGATCCAGCCCACAAGCTCAGCTAGTCCGTTCGCTCGTCCAGCAGCCTTGCAGCAAACTGCTAATAATCCGTTTCCCAAATTTAAAAAATATATTTTTTAAAAAAAGCTTTGTACAAAGTTGATGTCCTTCCCAAAAAGAGGAGTCAAGCACTGGATTCTTTTCAGATCTCTCTCTCTCTCTCTGATGCTGACTTCTGAAACTGTTAGAAAATCCCCACTCTCAAAAGAAACTTCAAGATGGAAATTACAAAGGCGCAGCTTTTTATAATTAACACTGTCATTGCATCACTAGCAGTGCCTTTTCCAATATCCTGACATTGCCTGAATCGCAGCCATAGACATTTTCCACCCACCAGGGCTTTGGTAAGATTTCCAGACCCTGCCGAGAAGAACCCACCTTCTTAATCCTGGCATGTCCAAGACGCGCGGGGAGAAGAGGCCGCGGGAAGAAGGAGCAGGCGGCGGGGCGCTCGGAGGAGCTCCGCTGGGCTGGCCGGCGGGCTCCCGGGGACCCTGTACAGGCGGCGGCGAGCAGAGCAGAGGGCTGGGGAGAGCCGGGTGCTCCGAGCCGCTGCGCAGCCCTCGCGGAAGCACCTGGTTTCGCTTAGCCCTCTTCAGTAATTCAGCATTAAACCAATTGGAAGAGGAATGTTAAAAATGAACACTTCATTTTCTAAGTATGTTAAACAATGCAAATGGGGCCTCAGTCTGGACACAGCTGGTTCAGATTACAGCGCTCACCAACTGGCTAGACTCCTCACAACAATCTTGGGGCGTCTGCCAGGGCCAAGTGCTCTGCGCTGGGAGGGGAGCCCGGTCCTGACGCCCTCTGCAGCGAGCTCGTTGGCTGCAGGCGCTGGGCAGGCAAGTGCGGGGTGGGCAGGCTGGAGGGGCGCGGACCCCGACTCTCCACCCGGGAGGGGTGAAGGGGCGGGGTGGGGCGCGCGCCCTCTGCTTGGCCCCTGGGCGCTAGCAGAAGCAGTCACCACTGAGACTTAGAGTGACTTGAACTCATGACAGGTAGGTACAGTTATCCGGGTAGAAAAGTAGAATAGAGTGAGAAACCAGAATCCACTGAGAGGAGACTTGGGGTCAAGTGATAGGGGACCTCTGGTCCCCCAGAGGCAGGGATGGGACGGAAGAGGAGAGCAGGATGGAATCTCCCTGATACTTAGACTTCAGATCTTAGTGAGGCCAGCCTTTCTCAGCTTCCGTCCTCTCATTCTCCCTGGCGTTTCTCGCTTTAATTAAAAGTGTCTCTTGGCTTGAAAGTGATTTTGACGAGAAGAAAACTGATTTGAAAATGACAAATGGACAAAGTCGAATGTGAAGGGTAACACAGCAGCCTTGGGCTAAGTCCTTTACACCGATGATATTGGTGGCTCCAAACCCTTTCGTTTCCTGTGTTTAGTACTGGGGGACCCTTCCTCAAATGAAATCGTACTAAAGAGTGTAGTCTATAAAAGACGTAAGTGGACTGGCTACATCCAAGCCCTCCTTTCTTCCTGCATCTTCCTCTGGATTCCTCAGAGTCCCTGGCTACAGCTCAAGAAAACACACAGGACTGGTCTCCCCTCCCAGCCTCCCTGCAGTAGGAATCACCTCCACTGCATTACAGGAGAGTGTAAGAGAGGTTGGGTAACTTTCCCCTGATCCACACAGCTGTTCACTGATGCCATTGAGCCTCCTGGGCTACATTTTGGACACAGCCTTCCCAAAGGACCTTTGTTTTTTTGGAGGGGAGGTAAGTATGTAGAGTTCTACTGTACAAATACATTAGGCCGAACAAGAGCAGACTGTTGATGGTTGCTGAGTATTTGTTATGTTATTCTATTTATTTTATGTTTGAACTTTCTATAATAAAACAAAATTTAAAATACATTTTATGTATAGGGTCATTCACTCTGCACATTGTAGTAGCAAAAGATTGTAAACTTAGGATCCATCAATAAGGCATCATAGAGTTAAATTCCAAAATGGACAATGAATAGAGTACAATCATTTTCTAAAAAGGCAAACGAAGAAGCCACAAATTGGTTGACTGTTTGAAGTCAGGTGGTCACTGGAAGAAGGCACATAAGGCCTTCTAGGTACCAGTGATATCTTACTTGTTAATCTGGGTGCTGCTTACAGATCAAGTGTAAATCTGGAATTCCTGAAGTCTCGCTGTGTGACCATGGAGAAAAGACTGAGGCAGTTTCTTATACAAATATGGATTTCCCATATATTTTGTATGTCAGAACTGGTATATTGGTTATTTCACATTGATCAATCTAATATAATAGTACACACAAGTTAAAGCTTTAAAAGTAAGATGAGGAACCATACATAAAGCATACTGCCACTTGAAGGAAAACATAGATAAGCAAATTGTTTGTGCACAGGAAAGACATCTACTAAAACATTCATGAGAAATCATTGCATTGTTCATCTTAGTTCAGATGACTACAATTAATTTTCATAGGTTGGGTGGCTAAATTAAAAAACATTTATATCTCACAGTTCCGGGGTGTGGAAGTCCAAGATCAAGCTACCAGCACAGACGGGGTGTGGTGAGGGCCTCCTCCAGTTCACAAGTGGCCTTTTCCTCATTGTGTCCCCATGAGGTAGAAAAAGGGAAATTGGGGGCCTCCTTTGTGAAAACCCTAATCCCATTTGTAAGGGTTCCACCCTGGTGGTTTAATCACCATCTAGAAGTCCTACCTTCTAATATCACACTAATGGGGATTAGGATTACAACGTATGTACTTTAGGAGAACAAAATAGTCTCCCAGAAGGTGTAGGCAGTTGGGGAACAGATGTGAGAGGGAAGATTTCTTTTGCTGCTCGTCTTTTGGTGTAATTTCAGTTTTGTACCATGTATGTGTATTAGCTTTTCAGAATATGAGGTTAAGTTAATTTACAGATATATTATGCTGGGGCAGGGAGACTTTTAAATGACTTTGTCCAATTGCTTCATGGATACTATCAACCTTGCTACAGGATAGGAAGGGAGAGGAAATCAATCTGCCTGTTGTCTTCATGAACAAATTGAAGACTATGAGATAAAAATTGTCCAGGGACCCATCTTGGACTAGAGATTATTTCTTCCTTAAAATTGTACGGTTAGATGGTGGGAGGAAATGAGGGTTGCCATGAGATGGGCCTGAGTCCTACTTTTTCTACTTACCATTTGGGTAATGGGCAAATAACTTAATCTCTTAACATCTTTTTTTCTCATCTGCAAGACAGAAAAAATCCGTCTCTCAGGGTGGCTGTGGGAATGAAATAAAAGTTGGTTATTCTCATAATTGTTAAAATTCCATTTCCTACATGAAATATCTTTACTCAGTAGTAAATTACCTGCTTCCACAACCTCACAAAGTACTCAGTTTGTTAGAAAGTCCTGCCCTGAGCTGAAGCCAAGTCTACTCTCCTGGGTGTACCTTCCCGTGGACCCTAATTCTCTCCTCTGCAGCCATAGGCTACGCCTTCTCCCACTACAGGCCTCCTGCTCCTGAAAAGCTCCGCTGGTCCACCAAGACTTTGCCAAATGTCCTGCTAATGTCCAATTACATGTTATCTGCAAAATTCCCTGATCAAGGAAGTCTAATTTTAGAAAGAAAAGGATGGTCCTTTGGCATGAACTCCTGCATGACCCTTACCGGGTTCTAGAGACCATTACTTCCGTTTCTAGGTGTGTTTTCTTTGTTTTTCAGTTGCAAAACAGAGATCTCAACATTCACCCCACTTTTCTGGCCTCAGAATCAAATACAATCACAAATATACAACAACTCCACAAGTATAAATTATAGGGTAAGTGTAAGAGGACATCATTTGCTGAAGGGCCCCTTCCTGGTTTCAGTGAAGCTCGATTTTCTAGCTATCTCACAGTGTTCAAAGACAAATGGGCAATTTTTCCAAGGGACATGGTGGTGGTGCGGGGCATCACAAAAGTACGTATTTAATGATATACTCGACTTTTAATATTAAATCATTGTTTTTTCACTGTCCAAAAAAGAATTACATCACTGTGGCTTTCTATAAGCAAATACAAAGCAGGCACAGTGGTGTTATTGGATGTCTGTCATGGTGTTAGAATCTACACACCCCTTCTCTGATCCCCACAATAACCCTGAGGAATAGGAAATGCTCTGCTTTGCAGATGAAAAACATGCCCTGAGAGATAAGATAATAAATAACACAAACTCCAGCCCCATCCAGGCTCCTCTGATCGTGAAGCCCGCATTCCTCCCAGTTTACCAAGCTTGCTTTCTGTCTCACCCTTTACATGCCTGGTCTCTTCCCGTAGTTTTAGTCCCTCAGGAACAATGCAGAGCTCCATGGGCTCTTCCATCAGTTCTGTCTCTCTTTTTCTTAAACACTTCCTATTCTTTGTATTTACCAAACTTGGCCCAAAAACCACAAAACTGAAAATAGCAGCTACTTCTGAGTTCAGTGGGGGGCAGGCTCCACTTCACCCAGCTTTTCCCGGGAGGGTGCGGGAACTGGTACTGTTCCTGACACCCCAGAGACTTCCTCCTTCCTCCCTGCATTAGACTTCATGTCTCAGCCGCCTCCTCGCCTCCTCTCACCTCTGTAACCTAGCAGTCTAGCTAAGTCCTTATCATGGGGCAAGATAGAGGAATAAAGGGAGGTAAAGAGGAGTCAAGGCAAATGAAAATTTTAAGAAAACTATAGCTTTAGGACAAGGCCTGTTTAAGTTTATTTTTCTCTGTCTTGTCCCAAGCACTGGCAATTCCCTTATGCCTGCAAATTGGCCCTTTTCACCTGTGATTAGACCGCTGTTTTTACTTGTAACTGAATCTTCTTCCCACAGACCTCCATCCTCAAGGAAGTAGCAATATTAGTGGGCAAGACATCTCAATTTCAAACACATGTGAATTGTTTGCATTCTAATATAGCATTCCATGGGTAACTTGACAGATAGTAGTGAAGCAGGAGATTAGGATGTGAAAACTGGCTGGGCAAGTGGACATGACCTATCAATCATAGAGATCCAGGACACATGCACCCAAACCCTGAGCGTGGGGCCAATCAGAGAATGCTACCTTCAATTCTTCTGGCACAACGTCAAGACAGTTTTTGATAGGATGGCTTAAATCTGATATCAGAATGGGGGAATATAAAAGATGGCCACCATTAACTTTGCTGCCACTGTAACTTCTTTCAGTGTCTCGCTCTGCATTCTGTAATGTGTACTTCTTTTACTTTTTTTACTGACCCACACTCATTCTGTAGAACACATTTCTTTTCCTACCATAATATCTTTAATAAATTTAAGCTTTACTACCTTTTGTACTTGCTTTAAACAAGTCTTTGTTCAGGACAGCAAACGCCTCCAAAGAATCTCTAGTAGGAGCTCAGAGAACCCCAGAACCCCAGTAACAGAAGAAATGCGTATCCTGGACCACTCATCTTGAAACCCTCAACATCCCTTAAATTTACTCAGCTATAGATCATAATGTATCTCTAATGTATTTCTTGAAGGCCCACATTCTACTTGAGTACGTACTTTTAAATTTCTGCCTAATAATCCTTCTATACCTCTTACATACACTCCCTGAAAATTCTTTTTTTGCATTGAAAGTCAGCCCACCTGCAACTTAATACTAGCTCCACTTTAGGAACCTCTGTGGACACTGTGTAATGATGATCATTTACCCAAAATGGTGACCCCTGGGATTCCTAGTGATCTTCACATGAAAAATATAGTGCCCTGTTCTCTAATCCTACTTGTTCCAGAGTCTTTGAAGCTTT